TCCCACTATAAATGTCCCTTTTCTGCTCTGAACTTTTACTTTGGCTCTTCTGGTTGGATTACTGAGAATGGGTGGTCAGACCGACGTGGTATAGGTTGGAACTCACGGGTTCAGTAACACCTGGATTGAGAGCTCGCAGCAAGCTTTGCTCTGAGGGCTTGTGGGGCTCCCTGCAAACATCAGGGTTGGCAGAGGAATGGCGCATGAGACAAGGAGGAAACACATGGTTCAGCGCAACTCAGTAGCTGCTGTGGGTTCAAACTTCAAGAGTCTGGCACCAGGCAGCTTACTGTACACGTATTAAAGTGCAGTACAATTTTGGAGAAAGTCTCCTGGTGTAACACAGCCCTGTATGCGCAAGGAGACATGACTACACAGAAAGTCTTCTCAGAGTACCCGACACTTCATGAAGATGAGGTCGGTAGGCTGCTGCTGCGGTATCTTCACCAAGGGGAGGATCTGTCGTGGTCTCGGTCATACAGCTAGTGTAGAGGTCATCTGGGCTATTAGCCACCTCTGGTCCTGGTTGTGGGAGTTTTGGGGGAGCCAGGTACGGAGTGACCCTACAGATAAGACAGTGGCTACCCAGACTGTTAGCCACCTCCATTCCCAGGCTTCTGGGCAGAAAACATACATATTTTCCCTCGAAAAGGCAACCATGCATGTGTAACCTGGCTTCCCTGGTGCTTCTCTGTGAGTACAGGACCTGTGTGCTCTCAACAGAGGTGCGCAGGCTCCAAGCCACAGGCGCTGGTCTCCTGGGCTTCGGCTGTCAGCTTTGCATAGCCCAGCCTTACCTGAGGGATTCTCAGTGGGGGCCTGCCTCAGCCAGATGGACCTATGGGCATGTCTGTGGGGACGTTTTCTTTTTTTTTTTTTAAAGATTTATTTATTATGTATACATTCTGCCTCGATGTATGCCTGCATGCCAGAGCAGGGCGCCAGATCTCAGTACAGATGGTTGTGAGCCACCATGTGGTTGCTGGGAATTGAACTCAGGACCTCTGGAAGAGCAGCCAGTGCTCTTAACCTCTGAGCCATCTCTCCAGCCCCATGGGGGGGGGGCGTTTTCTTGATTGTTGATTGAGCTGAGAGGGCCCAGCTCACTGTGGACAGTGCCAGCCCTACGCAGGTCCTGGGTTGTGTAAGAGTCACTAAAGCACCACCAGAGAGACTGAGCGGGCAAGCAGTCTTCTCCCAGGGTCTGCTCTGGGTGCCTCACCGATGGGCCATTACCTGGAAGCATAAGAGGAAACAAGCTCTTTTCTCCCCAAGTCGCTGGTCCCAGGGTTTATCACAGTCACGGGAAAGCGAATGAACACAGTAACTGTTACCTCTGAGAAAGGCAAGGGAGTAGCAAGGCCACGTGGTCAGGTCCAGAGCCTCGTCTTCACTTCATCCCTTCCTGCCCTTCTCCGAGAAAACACCAGGAGGTACCCTGAACTCAGCTTTTTTTTATTGCGCCCGAGTAAAAGCTAAAGAACACTGAAGAGAGAGACAGAAAAGGGCCAGGGGTGAAAGTTGGGGACACGTGGGATCAGGTCTCTAGCAAGTCTGTCCAGTGCTCCTGGAAGGAAGGACAAAAGGGTAGGTCAGAGGTCGTCTAGGAGGACTGGGGGAGGTTGGGGCCAGAGCCAGCTCTCACCTCTTCTAATTCCAAGTCCTCTTCCTCCTCGGTGTCCACGTGGCACTGCCCGATCAGGCTTCCCCAGAGCAGAGACTTCTTACAGCTGCCAAACGGTGCAGTTGGTAGAGATGGCAGAGTCAGGCATCCCCAGGCCCCTCCACCTAGGCCCTGAGTGTCAAGGTGAGGTTCCCTAGCCAGGACTGAAACACGGGGCACCTTCTTTCCAGACCTACACAGGCTGGGGAGAAGCCTGGACTCACCTAGGACAATGACCCTCTAGGGGCAGAAGCTGCCCCGGCTCTTCCCGCAGGAACTCCGCTGCCAGGCAGACGATATGGGCTCTGAGGGGACAACCGGGGTGGGGGCAGCACAGGGGGCCTTCTTCATCCTGTCAGAGATGGCGGTAAGGAGACATGGGAGGAACTTGAAGTAACCAAGAGCAGCACGCAGCTCGTGAGACAAGAAAGAAACGGAAAAAGCAGGAAGCACACAGAAGAGCTATGACTTCAGGAGGCCAGGAAAGATCGACATGGTGGCTGGTTGCCCAGTCAGAGGCGCTAACGGCCCCGTAGTAGATACTGATGGGCCAGGAAACAGCCGAAAGTACCATTGTCCTCATGAGACTGGGTCAGGGTAGGCAAACTCTGGGGTCTCAGCCCTGATGTGCCCCTACCTGCAGCATACGTGCACACAGCATGCAGCTGCCCTTGGCGCCTCCATCCAGCTGGTGCTCGCTGTCAGTCTCACTTGCAGTGAGTCGCTTCGGGACCAAGGGCTGGGGTGGTACTGGCCCAAAGGCAATGGGCATGTGTGGTGGTGGCACTGGAGAAAGTTCATGGCGGAAGTCCGGTCGCAGCCAGCGCAGTGTTAGAGGGAGGCGCACCCAGGGAGGAACTCGGAGCATGTGTGCCAACACACGCAGGTGGAAGGCGAAGGACGCCTCGCTGCGCAGGCGCGGCCCCACATGAGTCAGGCGGCGTGAGGCTTGAGGATGCTGCCAGGCCCATTCAAACTATAGGAAGGGACACAGACAACAAAGTCAGGGCGGTCCTGGGCAAGGTCCTCTAGACAAACTCTAAACCCCCGGGCCAGCCCGTCCTTAAGACACCTTTCTTACCCGAAGGGCGGCTACAGCAGACGGAAAACCGTGCAGGATCAGCACCATGTCCCTTGGGAGAAGGCAAGGCCAATGAGTGAGTCCCTATCCCACCTCAATCCCGATAGCAGCTCAATGCCCCACCCCCACCCCGGCCTGTGTTCCAGTTCACAGCACTTCACACCTTGTCATTAGGGCTTGAACCTTTCATGGAGATGTAAATCCCACGCACCTGCACCTAGGCCAGTCCTTGATTCCTGTCCTTTCTAAGTAGTAGTGTTTTGGCCCTAGCCTTGCTGACCACCGCCCTTGATTCCAGTCTCCCCCCCCCCACACACACACACACAGGGCTTCTCTGTATAACCCTGGCTGTCCTGGAAGTTGCTCTGCAGACCAGGTTAACCTCGAACTCACAGAGATCCGCCCTCCTCTGCCTTCCAATAGCTGAGATTAAAAGCGTGCACTACCACCACCCGGTCTTTTTGTTTTGCTTTGTTTTTCCTGAGTCCAGTCTTTAAAACAATTTTTTTTACTGGTGTATATTAACTGTACAAAGTAACAGTTGCATCGACATTCTCCTACTTATGTAATGTATTCTGACATTACTTATTATAACCACTTCCCCATTTTTTTTGGCCTTCTTCCTCATTCCAAATAGTTACCTTCCTACTTTCATAACTTTTTCTTTAAATTCCGCATGGGAAATAAGTTGAGATATTGTTATATAACTTAACACGGTGATGTCCAGTTCCATCCACTTTCTTTCAAGGGATATAATTTCATTTACCATTATGGCTGAGTCAAATTGCATTTGGGGGCTGGAGAGGTGGTTCATTTAGGAGCACTTGCTCTCGCATAGAACCTGGGCTCTGAACTGTCTGTAACTCCCAGTCCAGGGGATCTGGCGCCCTCTTCTGACCTCTGCGGGCACTGCATGAACATGTTGCACTTAGGATGAAGGCAAAACACTCAATATGAATCAAATAAAAATAAACCGGTTTTTAAAAACTACATCTTGTATACGTCACATTCTTTCTTCTCCCACTCCCCTGTTAATGGGCTTGTGCTGGATAGTTTTATGTCAACTTGACACAAGGTGTCGTCATCAGAGAAGAGAGAGTCTCAACTGAGAAAATTCCTCCATAAGATCGAGCTGTATTCAAGCCTGTAGGGCATTTTATTAATTAGTGATTGATGGGGGGGGAGGGCGAGGCCCTTTGTGGGTGGTGCCATCCCTGGGCTGGTGGTCCTAGGTTCACGGCCTCTGCACCAGCTCTTTCTTGTTTGTCCTGACTTCCTCCAATGATGAACAGTGCTTGGGAAAGTAAGCCAAATAAATCTTTCCTTCCCAGGAAGCTTTTTGGTCACGGTGTTTCATCACAGCAATAGTAATCCTAAGACAAGCACTTTGGCTGACTTCATAACTTATCTTTTGTATTTAATTTTTTTCTTGGATTTATTTTAATATTTTATGTATATGAGTGTCTTTGCCTCTAAGGATGCAGAGGTCAGAAGAGGGCGTTCCATACCCTGGTACTGGAGTTACAGACCAGCCTTTAGCTTCTGATCTCGTTCCCCAATTAACCATCCCAAATCTTAACCCAGCGTTCACAGAGTCCACAAGGTGCCGCCCTCCCGCTAAGCTCGCCCGGGTGACAGGCCAGGGACTCAGCACCGCCCGCGATCACAGAAATGGTCCCGCCTCGGTCTTCGGGCTTCTGTCCAGGCGGCCCGCCTCCAATCCGGAGCCTTCCGGCAAGACTTCGGGGCCCTCTTACCAGGGTCCTCGCCCGCTGGTCCGCCAGGCGCCACCTTTTTTGCGACCGGCGTTGTGTTGCCGGACGCGACGAGCAGGATTGACAGTGAATCCCACGTACACGCGGCCCCGATGCCGAGGGTTCTGGCAGTAGAGCAGGTAGACACCGTAGAAGCGCCCCGGTCTTGCTGTATGTCCCATCGGAACTTTCTGGGTTGGAGGTCCGAAGTGGGGGGTGGTTTCTGGGACCTCGGACCTCGGAAAGGGCTGGGTAGCCAGGACTGCAAAACATTTGTTTAGGAAAAAGCACTCGAGGGTGATCGTCTAGCGCGCTGGAAACCCGGCAGCGCTGCTTGGTGCGCCACCTGCTGGCAGGAGGAGGATGTGCAAACGCGGCCGCAGCGCCCGCGGCCCTCCAGCCCAGCTCCGATTGGCTAACTGCTGGGGCGGAGCCTCCCAAGCGCTGTGCCAGGAGACGGAAGTGCTGCCTTCCAGTCCGCCTCAGGAAGGGCGGAAGTGAGCGGCGTGTGAGGAAGTGGCTTCAGTGAGGGCGGAAGGCGGGGCTCTGGGCACGCCTGCCTGTTCCCCCGCCGGGCTGTGACTATGGAACTCAGCGCGGAGTACCTCCGCGAGAAGCTGCGGCGGGACCTGGAGGCAGAGCATGTGGTGAGTGCGGGGACGGGGACTCGGGCGGCGGGGAAGGGCTCCAGGGCAAGCGCCCCATCGTCCGGGTCTTCTGCCGGCTAGGAGGTGGAGGACACGACTCTCAACCGTTGCGCGACCAGCTTCCGAGTCCTGGTGGTGTCCGCTAAGTTCGAGGGAAAGCCATTGCTCCAGAGACACCGGTGAGCCCCCGGGAGCCCCTCGCCCAGCGCTTTGGGCTCGGGGCGGTAGCCCAGGTCTCTGACCGCTCGGGTGGGGACTAACTCACCCCCAAGCCCCTCGATGTGGCCCATAACCCGAGGGTGCGCCTGCCTTTGTGGTTGGGCATCCGTCCTCTCCTCCAATCCCCACTTCCTGGAGACATCTCCGATCTCCCTGATCGTGCTCTCCTCGGAGCCCACCACCGCAGCCGAGGGCGGACATTTCTCATTCCCATCTCTCGCCCAGACTGGTGAATGAATGCCTAGCTGAAGAGCTCCCGCACATCCATGCCTTTGAGCAGAAAACTCTGACCCCAGAGCAGTGGACCCGAGAGCGGCGGAAATGAGGGACCCGGGCCTGAACAGCCATTAATTAAATTGTAAATCAGGTCCATTTGGTGTCAGTGTGCTGTTTGAGGTCTCTCAGGCTGAGTCAGGTACTTGGCTTTCCCCTCCCCCTCCTCCATCATTGTTTGAGCATCGTCCTGTCCTTTAGTCTCTGCCGAGGGTGTCTGTCACCAAGGTCCGCCCTCAGAAAGCAAGGTGTTCCTGCTCTGCCAACCGCCCAGGACCAGAAACCCTCAGCCTTTTCTTACCATCTCCTCTCCAGGATCCTGGAGGTATCAGAGAGAGAGAGACAAGATACACGATCCCTGTCATGCTGTCAGTGTCTTTTCAGGCCCCAGGGGACATGGTATTCAGTCCAGTTCCTCCACATCCAATCTTCTTTGGTTTTGTCTTGTTTTGTCTTTGAGACGGGCTCTCAATGTGTTTTCCAGACTGTTCTTAAATTCATGAACTCAGATGGTTCTCTCACCTCAGTCTTCATGCAACCGTGACTCAGATGTCTGTCACCACACTCAGTACCTCTCCATACTGCCAAGGCCTGTCTCTGACACTTAGCGCTCAGTTACCTCTGCCTCTGCCTTCTCGTTCTTCCATCAAAGAAACTGGTCCAGCTGGAGTCATAGTCGTCGCTGGTCAGGCCTTCTCCATCCCCAGGATCATTTCCTGGACTTTTTTTCTTCCTCTGGAGAGGCAGTGATTCAGTCACAGGAAAGATGCCTAGCCTGTATCTCTAGAGGAGTGACCCCTTCATTCCCCAGTAACGGCCCTCTTCCAGTTTATAGGGGAGAAGGGACTTGCCCAGGATCACATGTCCTGCCAGAGGGTGAAACACAGCTGGGCAGGCAGGCCTGTTTGTGTGCCGTTCTTTATGTCCAGATAATTCTGTGACAATGCTGAAGAAGAAAAGGGCTGGGGCTGGGGTCCTGGGTGTTCTCTGGACTGTATGGATTCAGCCTTGGCACGGCCATGATACCCTCCCAGGCTCCTCTATATCATTCCAGCTCTGGAGTCTCCCATCCACTAGGCACCAAAAGCTACTCCCATGCCGAGGATATAGCTGTTGGCAGAGTGCTTGCCTAGCACACGTGAAGCCCTAGGTTCAATCCTTAGGGCCACATAAACCAGGCATCATGATGCACCCTTGAAATAGCACTTGAGAGGTAGAGGCAGAAGAGTTAGGAGTTCAAGACCATCCTGGGCTGTGTGAGACAGTCAGAAACACAAAAAAAAAAACACTCCCTCCTATAGACAGGGTATAAGAGATCTGTTCTTCCCTGTCTTCCTCAAACTCCAGGTCCTGTGAAATCCACAGGAAATGCTCCAAGGCCACAGAATGTTGTGAATGGAAGGGGGTTTCTTAAACTGGAACCCCAGAACTGTCCTTCAGCCAGCCCTTGTCTCTGTGTTTTAGTCCAGGTCAGGCTGTTTCCTGGTTTCTAAGCTTTGCCTTTATGGGATATTGTCTTTGTTTTGTTAGGTAGTTTTTGTTTGTGTGTGTGTGTTTGTTTGAGACGGGGTCTCTCAGTGTAGCCCTGGCTGTCCTGGAACTTAGAGATCTGCTTGCCTCTGCTACCACAGCTAAAAGCACAGCTCACCACGTCTGGCTTATTTGTCTTTGTGGATTTGCCTGTAGTTGCTTGCAGAGGGCATCAAGTTTCATGAAGCTGGAGTTGTGGGTGGTTGTGGGCCGCCTGATGCCGATGTGGGGACCTGAACTCCAGTCCTCTGAAAGGGCCACTGAGCTACATCTCTAGCACAAGAGTTATTTTTACTTATGTGTATGTAGTAATGTGTGTGTATGCAGGTGTACATGTGTATGTGTCCACGTGTACATGCATGTACACGTGAGTAGAGGCCAGAAGAGGATGTCAGATGTCTTCTGTCACTTTCTACTTATTCCTTTGAGGCAGAATCTCTCCCTGAAACTGGTGCTTGTATCTCTCTCTGTTAGGCTGGAAGCCAGCCAGCCCCACAGTCCTGTCTCTATCCACATCAGACCTACTGGGGTTACAGGCGTTTGCGGGAACACCCATGCTGTTACGTGGGTGCTGGGATTTGGTTAGCATCCCTCATGATCTCAGAGCAAACACTAACCCACTAAGTCATCTTTCCGGCCTTTTGTTGTTGTTGTTGTTGTTATTGTTGTTGTTATCTTATTAGCAGTTGTTTTGAGACAGGGTCTCTGTCTTAGGCTACCTTTGAACTTCTGATTCTCCTGCCATCACCTCCCAAGTGCTGAGATTACAGGTGTGGGTTTCCACACCTGGTTTCTGCTAGGGATTAAACCCAGGACCTGGCGCATGCTGCCAACCAGGGTGCATCCCAAGCTCCATTTCTGGTTTGGTTTGGTTTTTGAGGCAGTATCTCAATTTATTACCACTCTCAACTGAGTTTCTGGCTTGAAACCCCCAGCAGTTGCTCAGTCTCCCAAGGGTTTGGATTACAGGTGTGAGTCAGGTCTGATCAGAAGTCTTGTTTTTGTTCTTTGAATTTATAGTTTGGAAAACGTGACCATGTGCTGGTTGGTTTCGCCATAAGCACCGGTGTCAGTACAGTTGTATGCAGTTTGTATGCAAGTTAACCAGGAAATGCTAATTTGGGGTCGGAGCTAGGGGCATAGCTAGAGTGATAGAGAGCTCGCCTCGCATGTGAGTGGTTATAGCTTTGGTCCCCAGCACTGCCATAGAAAACACAAGAAAAGACTTGGGTGGATTTGGAAAATCTGGGGCCCTAAGATAGGGATTTGGATGACTCAGACCTTCCACTCCGAGATGGAGCTAGGAAGCAGAACAGCTCTCAGCTCCATTGCTGGGTATCCATCCTTCCATCCAAGGCCCCATTCATTTGCTACAGTGCATTTGGGAGTGACCTGCAACCCTGCATGGGATAGTGCATTCAGAACCATCAAGGGGAAGCCGTGGGGCTGGTCAGTTCACCAGAGTCGGAGAGGTACCAGAAAATAAAGCCATTTTATTATTTTCGTCTTATTCACCGTATGGCCTGAGGGTGGGGTGGGAGCAGAGTGAATGACTGGCCCCGCTGAAGGCTCTGGGGTGCTCTACTTGGCCTGAACAGTCTCCTCCAGCCTGTCCATGCGCTTCTGTAGCTCTTGTACCATGGCCTGCAGGTTCCTCATCTCTTCCTCCAGCCGAGACACAGTGTCCTGGGGGAGCCAGACTGCATTAGACCCCACTTTTCTATATATTCCCTTCCTCTGACATCAGCTAGCCTTTCCAAGAACCCCAAAGCTTGGGCCCTTTGGTCCCAGCAGCTACTACTCAGATCAATGCATTTGATTTTTAAGGCCGCAGGGTTACCCACTCCTTGTCCTCCCAGAATTTCCCGCCATTCGGAGCTCAGACATCCCCACAAATACATCTCTTTCCTGATGAGACACTGAGCACACCCATGCAGCCTTTGCCCTAATCTGTCTTCCTGCCCTGCTACCCCAGCTCCCCAGCTCCCCAGGAGCCCTACCGAGCTGGGAGCACCACTGGCCTCTGGTGTGGCTCTCTTGCGGACGCTGTCCAAGCCCCTGTTGACTCTCAGCTCCCGGCTCTTTGGGGGCACGTAGCCATCCTTGAGGGAGATGAGGAGGGGGCCAGCATCCCGGCCACCCAGCCACTCCTCAGCTGTGAGGGCAGGGTCTGGTCCTGCAGTGGGTGGATACAGGTCCTCCTGGAACAGGTCCGACTGTGGGCAAGGCCAGAGCTGGTCACGAGAGTGTTTCTGTTCCTGCCCTTCCCTACAAGCCCAGTGGTCAGCTCCTGCCCTGGCCCGGGGAGGAGCATGGGAACATCACCTTTCTAGGCACTGTCATGGCGATGGGCTCACATTTCCGCTCATGAAGCTTGTAGAACCTGCGGAAACGGGAAGGTGAGCGGCGCTGTGCAGCACGAGTGGGCACTCAAGGTCTGGTCAGAATCGGGCACTCACCTGGCAATCTCACACTTATTCACTTCCAGGCCACGTTTGGGCATGTAGCCCATACCACGCTGGGACTCCTTGGAACTGAACATGGAAAGATAGTGCAGGAACGGAGCCTCAGAAGTGATCTCAAAATACCGGATAGAGCTGTCACCCTGTAGGTGGTGCAGGCAAGAGAGTCAGTGCCAGCATGAGCCACCAGCCTTTGTGCTCACTTACCCACTTCCCTGCCCCCAGTCACCTTGCCACAGAGGTAGACAATGTTGGTGTCAGGGTCAAAAAAAGGCAGCAGAACTCCGCTGCTTGTGTCCAGCTCCTGCAGGGACAGCGGCTCTTCTAGGTGCTTCTGTAGAGACAAAGGGGGTAGCAAGGCTGAGCCATGACAAGTCTTAACTAGACAGCAAGCAGTCAAGGGCCCTCAGACTAAGCAGCAGAAACTTCCCATCTAATAGGTAAACTGAGGCCATGGTCATGTGGTAGGGTTGTGACTTGGCCTCCCTCCCCCTTGGTTCCAGTCTAAAGGGTCCCATTTCTCAGCACTCACTGTGTCCCACAGCGCCACCTGCCGCTCACTCATGCGACTGAAACCCGTGGTTAGGATCTTCCCCTCTGATACAAACACAGCGTGCACTGGCCGAGTTCCCTCATGAGGACGGTCCTTTTCCTGAGAGACAAGCATTGTGGTCAGTCAGTTTCTCTCGGTCTCACCAAGAGACTAGAACCTCGGTGGGTGCAGGGAGAGCAACATCCTGGGGCCAAGGTTTAAGGTTCAACTTACAGCCACCACAGTGCCTTTCCGAGGCTCAATGATGCGAACACGCTTGTCGCGGCAGGAGGTACAGATGAGACCGCCGTCCCGGCTCCAATCCACACTGTAGATCGTGTCCGGGTGCACGTCGGGACCCAGTGTCAGCACAGCTTCCCCAGTGCCCACATCCCACACCAGGATCACATTGTCACAACCTGCACAATTGTCCAGCGTGGAATGTGAGCGTGTGCCCCCGTCAGGCCCCCAGGCCTCCCCTCCTCACCCTTACGGACCTGCACTGAGAAGCACATTCTGGGCTGTGGGGTGCCAGGCCACGATGCCCACCCGCTTGGTGTGACCTTCCAGA